GTGTGTGTGTGTGTGTGTGTGTGTGTGTGTAGACGTTATTAGAGTGATGTTAAAGGGCTTTAAGTGATTGTCTGATCGTGCTGGTTTTGAGGGCTGATTCCTGCACCGTGAGTAAGCGGACTGGCAGAACTTGTTAACACTCGGCTCTTTACTCCCATCAACTCTTGTTGAAGATCAGGAGAGAGGAGGGTACTCTTTATGGAGGGCTGTCATGGGCCGAAACAAGAGGCTGCAGTGTGTGTCTGTGTGTGTCTGTGTGTAGTAAACCAGTTGTTTTCCCCTGCATTATTGAAAACAGCTTATTCAGAAAATACAGTTCAAGTTTTAAAATGTGGCATTTTGTGCCTTCTTCTCTCTGTCTTGAAAGTTTTTTTTCTGGTTGCTGTTTCACTTCATTCGGTCTCTGTCTCTTGTTCAGTCACCGTCATCATGTTCTGCACGACCAAGAGGTGGACAAACGTACTTGTGTTCCCATGAATCACCTGTGGGCCGACCAGGCTCCCTACACTGTGTGCAACAGCTCCCTGTCAGAGTACGGAGTGCTAGGTAAGAGTGAAGTCGCTCTGGCTACACAGCGTTACACAGATATAATAGATTTCTTTTGCTCTGTTTGATGATGATTGTAATTTCAGGTTTTGAGCTCGGCTTTGCCATGGCCAATCCAAATGCTCTGATCCTATGGGAGGCTCAGTTTGGGGACTTTCACAACACGGCCCAGTGTATCATCGACCAGTTCATCAGCTCGGGCCAGGCCAAGTGGGTCCGTAACAATGGTATCATCCTTCTGCTGCCACATGGGATGGAGGGAATGGTGAGAATGGAAACTCAACCAGTTGTTTTTAGAAAAGCGATCTGTTGTAACCTGAATTTTATTAACTTACCACATGTTGATATTCCTCTTCCATTCTCTCATCACGTGTCCTGCTCCTGTCTTCTTCTGTCCTCAGGGTCCTGAACATTCTTCAGCTCGACCCGAACGCTTCCTACAGATGAGCAAAGACGACCCCGATCACTTTCCTGTATGCTCACATGTACAATTTACATTACTGTTATTACCCAATGATAAATGTCAAAGAACTTGACAGTACACTGCAGTTAACATCCAACAGCTTTCCAGCTTTAATGGCTATGCTTATGTAACGACTGCTTAAGTGATGATTGCCAATTTCTCTGGAGCTTTAGGGGTCTCTTCATTGTGCCCTCCAAAGTGTTGGTATTCAGCAGTAAGTCAGGGCTAAGGGTTTGCTCGCACACAGGAACATTCACGGAGGAACCACAGCATCAGCAGAAGCTTCCTAGATTCATCTTCAAATGGGATATTGATCAAACTATTAGTGGGAGCATACTGGGGAATTAACGTTCCCCCGAAGTGTGTGTGTGTGTGTGAGAGAGAGAGGGAGAAAGAGATAGATACAGTGCACTGATGCGCTCAAGAGTGGGAAAAAAACATTGCTGCAGCCAACAGTAACTTATTGATTTGTGTTTTCGTTTTTAGAGTTGATAACATTTTTATTTTATATTCTTTTTTTTCTTTTTTTTTTTCACCCAGGAGTTTAATGGAGATTTTGAAGTCCAGCAGCTGCACGACTGTAACTGGATCGTGGTGAACTGCTCCACGCCTGCTAACTACTGTCATGTGCTCAGACGGCAGATTCTGCTGCCGTTCAGAAAACCGGTAAAGTGTAACACCATCCTCACTACATCTGTGTCTTGCTCGTCATTTAACTATTTATATGATTTGATGTTTTCGCTTTGATTGGTTTCAAATCGCACATATAAGCAACTGCTTTCCCTCAAAGATAAAGATAAAATTATTGAGTTATAAGATTTTTCCAGAGTTTTCAACAACTCAAAAACTGACGTATAAAATATGAACTTTGTCTTTGTCTCATTTGTTGTTTAAATTCTTTCTTAACTGTAAAAATCTTTAGTTGAGTTCATTATAAATATTTTACGATCAATTATATTCGTCACAACCATGCTTCAAAAGAATTCCGTTTTGCAGAAACAAGCTTAGCTTATGATAATTGGACAGCTGTGGCTCATGAGGTAGAGCGGGTTGTCCTCTTGCCAGAAGGTCTGCGTTTTGATCCCCGTCTCCCCCATCCTGCATGCAAAAGTGTCTTTGCAAGATAGCAAGATAGTGAACCCTGTATAATTGATATGTGAGAGAGAAAGAGCTGCACATAAAATCACTTTGAGTGGTCATCAATACTTTCCACCATTTACCATATTACTTACATACAGTACAAATATGGTTCTCTATGTTCTGATTTAGTACTTTAAACCCCTAGAGAAGAACTACTTTGGGTATAAAGTTGTGAAAAATAACACATTTCTCTTTTTTGTATGTGTGCACTGCTCTTTCGTCTCGGTTTTCAGCCACAGTGAATGTCTTAACTGATCCCCTGCCGCACATAAATGCGATGCTTTGTGAAGCATGAGAAAAGTACTTCCCGAGCAAATTAGTGAGAGGGCCAATAGGGGATAATATTGTTTGTTTTTTTCTATGAAAAACCCTGAAAGTCTGGACCTGGTTGGCTGAGCGCAAAGGGTTTTATTTATTTGATTTTTGAAGAAATGTTTAGTTTTCCCAATGCTGATGTTGCATGCTATATGGCGGCAACAAATTAGCATGAAAAGAGATAAAAACTTTTATCTCTGGAGTTTTTTCAATGCGCACCATGAAGATACGGATGACAGGAACAATCTGTTGTTAATTACTGACAGAAACTCTTGTGTTTTTCCCCAAGTTGATTGTTTTTACTCCAAAATCTCTGCTGAGGCTACCGGACGCAAGATCCAGTTTTGATGACCTCGCTAAAGGTGAAGTTTGACTTTATCTCTGTGAAATGTGACATGATAATGTATCAAAAATGTTGGTGTACAGCTGTAGCTGACAAACCATATTCAACGGCTGCAGGCACTAGATTCAAGAGGCTGATTCCCGACGAGGGTCCTGCAAATCAAAGCCCAGGTCATGTGAAGAGGGTGATTTTCTGCACTGGTAAAGTCTACTACGAGCTGGCTAAAGAGAGAAAACTGCAAAACCTGGAGAAAGATGTCGCCATTGTCAGACTTGAACAGGTGTTTAACCTCTCTCCTCTGTCTGAGCATGTTGTGCACTGTGGCTTTCAAAATACGAGAGAGATGCATTTTAGTCATTTCACCTGCTTTTCTGCTTCCCCCACAGATCTCTCCATTCCCGTTCGACTTGGTCAGAGCAGAGGCAGAAAAGTTTGCCAACGCTGAGCTGGTCTGGTGTCAGGAGGAGCACAAGAACATGGGTTACTATGATTACGTCCGGCCACGTTTCCTCACAGTGGTGTCCAACAAGAAACCCGTTTGGTAAGGGTCTCATCTAAAGCAAGCTGGAAGAATAATGTTAGAGTATCTGGTGATGGATTTGAACCGTCAGTGTTTTCTTCCAGGTACGTGGGACGGGACCCTGCAGCCGCGCCTGCAACAGGGAACAAGTCCACCCACCTGAATGAGCTGAGGAGGTTCATGGACACTGCTTTCAACCTGAGTGCTTTCCGGGGGAAGCACTTGTAGTGGAGACCTGGAGTGAGAACCAGGCTGGAGGTGCAGTTTCATCTCCGACCACCATAGTTTAATTATTATTTCTTCACATGGCCAGATTTATGATAGACTGGAGCACAGTCTGGTGTCAGTAAACATAATCCTAACAAGAAAGATATGTTTTCAACACCGACTGACTTGCTGAACTGTGATATCAGGAGCAACATGGAGGACAGTCTAGAGCCAGCAAACTGTTGGGGCTAGTGCTCACTGCTGTTCCCTGGTCATGCATGTCAAATTAAATCAATTCATATTTGTTTATATGCCCAAAATACATCTTTTTCTATATTTCCTTAATTTGTAGAAGGAAATGTTCTCAGAAAAATCATCATCATCATGGAGTCTGATCCCAACTTTATTGTGAGAATCTGCACTATATTTAATCATATACCACATAAACAATCATTAACCATTTAATCATATACCACACGGTGTAAAGAAAACTAGAAACACCTTTATTTCAAAATAAAAGCTCCTCACAAAATAACACAAACATTAAATATAATCACAGTCCACAGTAGGTTAGTGCTGAAGTAGCAACAGTAAACTCCCTGTACGTCTAACAACATTCACATGTCCATGTTTATATTTGTGACAATCACTGTTTTTTAGCAGCTTTAGTAATGTAGATATCTCTGTGGAATACTAGTTTATATTTATAGTGCTGAGTAATATTTGTAGGGATTGTTGTATATGAATAGCAGAAGCAAACACTGGAATGAAGACGATTGAGAGATGAAACACATCAGTAGGTTTTAGTGCCTGTATTTGCTTTGGCTATCTTCGCAGTTAGTGAAGGAGTGTGTATTTATTGTCACACCTCACTTCACTGGGAGACATGAGCCAGCTGGCACAGAGACTTGCAGCCATGTTTTCTTCTTAGGACATAAGGCTTGGCTTCCTCTTCGGAGGCTGAGGGACGCACACAACACACAGCAAAGCCTTGGATGCTGTGAGAGCAATACTGACGCTTGGTTGTCACATGAAAATCCCCAGGTATTTAACAGCACTGGTATTATCTGCTTAGAAATGCTTCTTAAAAATTACGCTTCCTGTTGAACCTTACTGTAGCTTTTCCTTTTCCTCTTACAGCTGGGAGAATTAATTATAAGCCATACACAGACATTATTCAATGACTTTTAGGTTTACGTATTTTAATTTATTAATGAAGAACAAATGTCCATGGTAGATGGGGTTTAACCCAGACCAGGAATAATGACATATGCAATAAAATGTTTCAATTGAATTAAGTGATGTGGTCGTGATGTTAAGTTGAGTATGATGCTGGATAACATGTTATGGTTTAATGAAACAAATAAATATGTGCAATACTTATAGATGGACCAAACTATTAATTATAAATTATGTTGATACCTTTTGATTTCCCACCTATCACTATCTGTGCATCGTGTATGTAGCCCACCCTGCTTCCTCAAAGTCTCCAAAGGGGTCATGGCGTTATTTACCCAGAGATCCACAAATCTCTTGTAACAGTACACATGTGTGAAGTATCCCTGAACTCACCGAACTCCAGCTGCTGTATGTGACAGGTGAACACGAGCTCCACCATGTTCCAGTGGCACGTTTTCCTCCATGTTGGAGTGTTTGAGTTGAAACAGGAAAGACATCATCCGACATCGACTCTGCTGGATTCATAAGGTCCATAACCAAGTTTGTTGCAAGGCTCTGATAAGGAAGGATTTTGAATAGACATATTGAAATATATACAACTTAAAACAATTCATTATTCTGTAATTCCACCACAGGTCACTGAAATTAACCTTTTAGTTAAAACTATCACATTCACAGCGATGTAAGCTTAATATATTTATTGATTTGACAGAAAAAGTTGTAATCATGAAGCCAAAAACTTAAAAACGTACACTTTCATCATGTGGTGGATTTTTCTTTACGAGATAACAAATCCTAATTCCACCATGCAACCGGCCCACTAACACTGACACACACTACTGATCTGGAAACAGTAACACGAACAGAAACAATTCAATTTATTTTAGTTTCTCTGTTTTAATCTTCAGTTATACTCTATAAATACAGTTTGACAGATATAACCACAGTGATCACCTCTGCTCAGTAGTT